AATAAGGTTTCTGACTGCAAAAAAAAAACTGTAAATCGATAGAAATCTATCGGCAGCTTCGTGAAGTGTATGGGGACAACATTATCACTGAAGGTGGAGTGCGTCAGTGGGTCATAAGATTTCAAAATGGCCGAACCAATGTTCACGACGAAGATCGAAGTGGGAGACCCAGCATAGTGACCGCCGAACTTCTCGAAAAAGTCGATGCTAAAGTCCGTGAAAAATCGAAATTTCACAATAATAATGGAACTTTCTTTGAGTTTTCCACAAATTTCGCGAAGTTTGTTGCACGAAAATCATCAGCGAAAAGCTTGGTTACCACAAGTTTTTGTGCAAGATGGATTCCAAAAATCTTGACAGAGGACCACAAAAATCAGCGAATGGCTGCAGCGTTGAACTTTTTGGACGCTTACCATAAGGATGGTGACTCTTTACTCGATCGCATCGTTACTGGTGACGAAACATGGGTGAAACATGTGAACTGTGAAACGAAATTGCAATCAATGCAGTGGGGGCACACAAGTTCTCCCCAAAAACCCAAGAAATGCATGCAAACAATGTCGGCAAGGAAGATGATGGCAACTGTTTTTTGGGACAGAAAAGGTGTAATTTTGGTGGACTTCCTGGAAAGAGGCACTACAATAAACTCTCAAAGGTATTGCCAAACTCTCCAAAAACTCAGAAGAGCAATTCAAAACAAGCGCAGAGGAATGTTGAGCTCTAAGATCTTGTTGATTCACGACAACGCCCGGCCCCACACGGCAAATGTCACTCGTAAAGTTCTTGAATCTTTTAAGTGGGAGTTGTTTCCTCCTCATCCGCCGTACAGTCCCGACCTGGCACCGAGCGACTTCCACCTATTCCCAGCAATGAAGAAGTGGCTGGCTATGCAGCGTTTTGATGACGACGCACAGCTGCAAGAAGAGGTAACGAAGTGGTTGAAGGCGCAGGCGGCCGAATTTTTCGACGAAGGAATTTCCAAGCCTGTACATCGCTACGATAAATGCCTTAATTTGTATGGTGACTATGTAGAAAAGTAGTATTTGAGTGTGGCTTTCATCTGTATATAATAAAATTTGTTTCCTATACTTTGTTTATTTTTTTATTCCAAAACGTAATCTACTTTCTGGATAGCCCTCGTATATTGGAATTTGAAATGTCAATTCGGAAGCATAGTAAGTATAAAGTACATGGAGAACAGAAAGTTAATTTAATCATGGATATTTATAAGAAATAGTATTTGATGCTTACAAGAATGATTGAAATTAATGATCATCTACTGCAGTACATGCATTACAATGACGACTATGTTTTCAGGGTACGCTTTGGAAGGTAATCGGCGTGTCCCATATTCTGCTTCTGCAGCAAAGACTAATTCTGGTGACAAGGTCTTCAAGAAGATAAAGTTTGCGTCTCATAAATGAGATCCGTCGTCGTTGGAATGCGTGTATTACAATTGCTAATCATTCGTATTAAAAATTCTTGTAATATCCTTGATTAAAATGATTTCCAGCTCTCCATGTTCATTCAATTTATTGTGTTTCCTCATTCGCATTTTACATTTCACCACACACTGCATTGCAAAAATAGTTACTTTTGCCATGTTATATCACACCTTAAAATTGCGACCATCACTTCCAACACCACCACATTTACAATTCTTAATTCAGTGAATACAGTTTTATGTTGTAAAATTTTTTATTAATTGCTAAACTCTCATTTTTCAGTGCTTTATTTTACCTAATTTCATTGCAGAAAAAGTGAAGTTACTGTATAACTATTCAAAAACATTTTATGCTGATATTCAGAAAAGTATGATGTATACATCTTTCAATAGCTTAAATTTCGTTGAATAACCTTGGCGAAGTAGAAGATTCAATAAATAAACATTTCGCCAAGGCACGTCGAAAGCAGTTGCGTCACCTCTCCGCATCCTCGTACTTTCCTCTGGTATCAGGCACCAGGTTGTGTTCATTACGGATATCAGCATCCCTTCTTTGCGGTGCATGCCTGTAGCTTGGTCCCACCGGTGGCCCGTGGGAGCACCCCCCTCCTCTTCTCGATGACGTGGCTCGCGCGCGCTGTGTGATATCATGCTCATGCCGTTACATTCCCGCATCGGTCCGTATCATTACTTCGGTCTCAAAGTCATTCCTCAGCATGAGTGGACTTCCATGGGAATGTCAACAGGGAAATTGGAAAGTTAGATTGCCAAAGCGTTTAAAGGAATGAGGGGGTATATGTGGGGGAAAATGAGTTTCCTTTTTTTATAATTTGAAAGCTGGGAGCAGTAATATATGGGATGAAAAGATTACAGCTTAAGATAGGAAGATGCGGTTATATAAATTATTTCCCAGATACATCATTCTATTGTATTGGTTGAAAATTCGGACTTGTTGAAATACGGACAGTAAGTATACTTTAATCGGGTAAAAGTGTTTTTCAGGCAAGGAAGTCATTATTATGCATCACATGAAGCATATATTTACACATATTATTTTCACTTCAATATACTTACCCAACTAAATTTCTTTATTCTGCCCATTTGTATTTATTTATCTAACTTCCAATTAATTTATATTAACTTCGCCAACAACTATTTGACATCACATACTTTGTTTTAAGCTATTTACTTTCTAAAATTTTTGTTCTTGTTTATTTAAAATCCCAAGTAAAAATTTTGTAAAAAGAAATTCCAGAAGTTTTGGAATTAAAAGATAAAAGAAGAAGGATAATAAGTGCTTTATAGTTTAAGGATTTAAAGAATGTATAAGAATGCAAATCAAAATCTATTAATGAGAACATGCATCAAAAATAATTTGTAAGATTAATTTCAGCTATCGCGTTCTCTTCGTGTTAGTTTTATTTTAACATTTCTAACTTCATTGTCTTCCGTCAGCCTTTCAGCTGCAGATTGGTGGACTTTAAATAGCGTCCAAATCTGTAATTTAAAGCGAAAAAGAACTTAAGCAGTGCGTCGCAAAAGAGTTTAAATCGCAAATCATCCATCTCTACACCGGTCAGGTTTTAATGAGTGATTTCTTCTGTTTGTTACAGCTTAAGGCTAGAAATTAAATAATCATGGGCAACTGAAGTCGAGTTTATTAGATGTTGAAGTTATTGTTATGTTGTATGCATTTAAATATTGGTATTTTGTTACCCCATTAGTAGAAGTGGCTAAATTAAAAATTTTAGTTAAAACTACAAAACGTTTCTTTTAATAAAGCTTTTAATGAAGTTTTAGATATTACTTGTGTTTTTGGAAGTCTAGCTAAGTGCAAAAGCCAGAAGTTTTCAGAAGTAAAGGAAAGTTAAACAAAAGCGTTTCAATGGTTAATTGAAGTGAACCTTATGAAACTTATACAAATTAATTTAGTAGTAAATTAATTTATACTAAAATAATTCCTGTAATTTAATAGTAAATTAATGTTAAATTGATATCAAAATTAATGCAATTATAAGGTCTTTTCTTCTTCCTTTCCACCACATTCGACACGTATTCGTCAGGTCCAGAGTTCAAGAGTAGTGTGGATTTCTTCAGTTTCCTGACTTCGAAAAAATTCTATAAGATTCTACGAGTGACGTCCGAACTAAAAAAGTAATGGAGGATAATTATCCCAATCGCCACCAGGATTTGCCGATTGGGTCCACTTTTCTCAAGTCGACGTTTAAAAGCGGTGAGTATAAGGTATTTTCTTCCTCCTTTCTGCGTGACTTCGTGGTGTTACTGAAAGCACGCTCGACGAGTATCCAAGAGGTTCGGAGTTCTAATCCTGGCATTGCATATTTTTCACGTTCCAGCATCCATATAATCTAATGAGTCTCTGTAATAACTTTATAATACATATAATAACTGTATAACTTTTTAATTTATACTTAATTAATTTATAACTATTAATGTTTTCAATATTACAAAAAATTATTGTTAGTCTAAAGGGGCAATTTACCCTGAAGGTCTATTAATTTCGTTTTGGCATTTTGCGTCGAAATATTTAAAAAGCTGTATCAATTTTCAAATCGTTTCCAACATATATTATCGCTCTGTCTTATATTTAAATGAAGAATCTGCATCAATGTATGTATATTTCTCGCATTGTGATAAAACAACGGTGTCTAGAGCCATCAAAATTTGATAGCGTAATCTTCCATAGAATATGGACATATGGAAGCTCTAATTTGAATTTGAAATTTGTTTTATTATCGGTTGCATATTTTGCAACACTTCAACGAATTTTTTAATAAAAAACTAAACGATTTCAAAGAGGGCAATGGCAACGCTGTACGAAAAAAGAATTATCTCCAGCGCGCGAGACTGTGTATCGGAAATTCCAAAGACATGCTCAATTTAAAATTAATTTAAGATATTGCTATTGAACTGAATTATATAGTTTGAGTACGTAGAACATGATATTTAATGAATAAAGATAACACACAAAAAGTTAAATAAAAGCCCCTTTGAACTTAATTTAAAATCTGAAACCTTTCAGATTTTTTTGTTCTTTTTTATTAGTATTGTTTTCATTGTACATATCGTTATACATTATTGTTTTCATTGTACGTAAAAAGTAACTTTACAGCAGATGATTTCTATGTGTAAATCAAATGTTAAATGAACTTGTAAACTTTAAAAATTTAATACAGTTAGAGAAACATATTTCTTTAATGAAAGACGTCTAAATAGATGAAAAGAACAATTTAATCAACTTTGTTCAAATTGTGGAAAACCATTCCTGCACAGTTTTCGTGATCATAGGAGATTAAATTACTTAAAGTTAATTTTTTCTATTTTAAGTTGTCTATAACCGTACATTATTAATTTAGAGATTCACATCTGAACTTCTAATTGTTAATCTATAACACAGAAATTTTAATTAGATAAATTTGTAAAAATGAAAAGTTATAAGCTAAGTACGATTTCCAGTTTTGCAGAAACTAGGAAAAAATTTTAAGTTGTAGAGACATTATCTTATTTTGAAGCAGTAGATCTGAAATATGTGCAATGCCCTCGCCAGGGCTCGAAACTGGGCTACTCGAATGTAAGCCGAGGATGCTACCGTTACACCACGAAGGCAAGTTGGAGAGAGAAAATGCCTAATAAACTATTGATCTGGACCAGTGATAATTTTCGTACCACCTCTCGAGAGACGGTTCAGAATTCTCTTTTATAAGGAGTTATTAAACTTTCGACGAAATTTCGAATATTTGATAATTTACTCGTTCGATCGTTTCTCAAAATCTTTATCCAAGGCTTTTCAAGCCATATGATATTTAAGATCTTCTTAGTAAGCAAAAAATTAGAAAATGACAATTTATGTAGATATATTTCGGTTTTTAACATCAAAAGCACATTTAAATAATAAACAGCTCGAACTTGCCCTGCTGAAAATATTAGAACAAGCTTTAACCTGATCATATATTAATTCTGATGCCTATTAATAAGTTATCAATCCTAGATTGATTGTCTGAGTTAGAAGAGGAAAAGATGAATCTATATTATGCATTCCTTTTCATTAAAAAGCAAGGTTATCACGAAAACATCTTAAATAAACCTCATAAATTAAAATTTCTAAGCGTTTAATTAGTCAACTAATTAAATTTAATCTTAACTTCCGTAAGCAAAATGGCAGAAATCTGACATCAAGAAATGGCAACTTGATGATTTTCTTTTCCTTTTACTAACATAACTTCTGACTGAAAGTTTTATTGGCCAAAATTTATTGTCTTTACTCTCTACAGCAAGAAAATTAAATTTCTGTTTGATTTCACCTTTAAAACTATACATTCAAAACTGCTGCAAAAGTTCAAACTATAGTAAGCTGTTTAAAACTACGGAATTAGTTTAAATTTTACTAACGATCAGATTCAGAACTTCTGAATAACAGGCAATAGTTAGTTTAAAACTACTAAAGGAATTGAAATTTTATTATATTTTCATTTTCACTTTAAGAATAAATGCCGTGATAACCTAAATATTTTACTAGGAAGTATATTAGGACTTGCGGATAAATGCGCAAGTTACTTCTACAATGATTCTAGAAAAAACTTTTCAGAAATAAATCTAAACCTAACATTTCAATATTTACGAATACTCGTTAATGTCGCAAATATTTAGCGATAAAAAGAAATAAATATTTCATAGACCGATAAGGAAGGAAAAACTCTGTTTAACATAAAAGATAACAAAGTAAAATCACAAGTTTTTTCTTTCTCTATAATCAACTTACGATTCTTGTAGAGTTATTCAGTGAATTATTGAGATCTCTTGCCTTTGATAACCTAAAAACCTACGAAAGCCGATGCTAAAAAGCTTCAGACCGCATGCTTATCCTGACATATAAACTGATTTTGAATATATATTGTGTTTCCTTATTTTTGTGATAAAAAATGATAAGGATTAAATAAATTTATGGTTTCTCGAACTATCTATAGACGGTAATCAAGCAAGTGATGAAACATTGCGTGTGGTCCCCCTTGTTATGTTATAACACTGATTTATATACGTCTCATGGTCACTGTTTCCTTCAGATTACCACCTCAGAAAGTGATCAGTGTTCCTGAGAGCATAAACTACTACGAGTAATGAGCATTAATCTTTCTTCCTAAGGCGTTATTATTACCATAAGCATTATCTTACCTTCATGGAGAACCAAAACCGATTAGAATGACGGCTTTTAGAGAGTTTATTAGAATAAATTTGAAAAAAAAAATAAGTAAATAACAAAGATCCAAAAGCTTTCAGATTTTATATTACGCCCTTTTGTGTGTTACCTTTATTTATTAAATATCATTGTTCTTCGAACTTAAACCACATAAAATTCAGCTCAACAGCGATATCACAAAATATTTAAAGACAGAATATCTTAAGAATTTCCGATACATAGTCTTGCGGGCTGGAGATAATGTTTTTTCCCGAACACTTTTGCCTTTGAAATAGTCGAGATTGTCAATCAAAAATTCGTTAAAGTTTTACAAAATATTAAAAACGGCGAATAAATCTATAAATTCGCCGTTCATAGTGAAACGTCACAAAATCCGTTTTGAGAATAAAAGCCCTTTTGGGTTACCCCACGTTTGGTTTAAAACCTTAAAGAGGTAGAGTAAAAACAGTGATCTTTTCTGGAAATGATCAGTATTTCTTTGAAAACGAATAACATCGATATTGAAAGTCACATCTATAAGGAATCGTCTGGAATCATTAGGGATCCTTTTAGACAGGTTTCATTGCGCTATATCAGTATAAAGAATAGTGTAAATTTACTCAGAAAATTGATTCAAAGCATAAATGACCTACCAGTGATCAATTGGCAAAGCCACAAAACACCGGTAATTTGTCATAAGCGTTATTCTCCGCTTCAGTATAGTTTTGCTATAAGAATTTTTAATGATTTGTCCAATGTCTAAATAAAATAAAAGCCAGTTGACTTCTCGTTAAAAAAGATGTACAATGAAAGTATCCCTTCATTTATACAAGTGGCCTTCGAATGATTTTGTCATGATGAAACTACCAAACTAAAGAGATAAATACCTGAGTACTTACGTTGGGATAAAATAAATTTATTGAATATAAAGCGTTGCCTAATTTATTAGCTATAATATGCACGATAGCATCGGAAACAGCATTAGTCCAACATCGATGTCGGCAGCATCGACATTGAATTAATTTCAGATAATCAGAGATAAGTAGCCAAATAGTAACATTCTGTGGTGACTAATACTTTATTTAAATCCCTGTCTAACAATCTTAGTTGAAGAATAAAAACAATGGGAAAAACAATGAAGAGTACAATTTTAAATCTATTTATAAAATTATGTTTCTTAAAACGCACCAGCTCAAACTTTTAATTCACTGTAAAAGCTTTTCAGAACAATATAAAAATCCAAGTCTTGCGGCATCTATTTCAGAAAGTCTCACTTTCTCATATTCCGAAAAACATCTGTATCAAATAATTGTTCCGAGAATTATCCTTAAGAGAAAATACTTAATGCAAACATCTACCTGCTACAAATTACATTTAAAAATATGAATCGATGCATTTTAATAACTGCGTTAAATATGTTTCAAAAACACGCAAGGGATCCAACCTTCAAAAGATCCATTTACTCTATTACCAAGTGCTTTACTGTCTTCAAAAGATCCATTTGTTATACTGCATTATCCATGTTATATACATTTGTTGTTTGTTGTAAAACTACAGCTGTAGAAATACGACTAGGCTGTATTTGAAAAATAAACTTGAGGTTTTAGATGAATTAAGTAAATAAGGAATGGTTAAAAATTTCGTAAAATACTTTCAAAACTCACTAATCTACGTATTACGTAGAAATACGTAATACGAAAATGTTGCCTTTTCTGTTGCTTACTTTGATCGTATAAATGGTAACACATCCCCCTAACATCAGAAAGTCTGAATCCCGGAAAAGCGTAGCTGATTTTTTATGAGTCTTGGTCCAAGAGAAAAGCCCTCTACAAGTGGCGTGTGGTCGATAACCGTAACCACCTGGATATTGCAAGTGTATCTCAGTTTGCTTTTACGTAGTGCAGAATATAGCGAATTTTCGTTCTTCTTCACTAGTGAAGAGATAAATAACTCCGTTGAAATAAAAAAGAAACTAAAGGTTTATTCCAAATATTCACAGTAAAAGGTACAAAATAACAAGAATTGATTTGGGACAATACAACAGCCACTAGCAATTACAGCTACTAAGCTCGTCTGCTGCACACTGCTCTCGATTTACTATATACAATTGGATTACCTATGTCCTTATTCATATATACATAGCTCACCAAATCCTCCAGTTAGTTTCATGGACTTGGAACTGAGCTGTTTAAGATGTTTTACCACAGCACTCACTACACGTTCTTGCAATATAAATGATAGCAGATCCTTCTAATATCGGAAGATATGGAGTTCAAATTCCTCCGAAAACATTTTTCACGTTTCCTTCTCAATGTATACCATAACTAATGCCAAATTTTGTTATACTAACACCAAATTTTATTATAATAAAATTGAGGCAAATTCACTAAGACTTTTTATTTTCTTTGGGAATGACATCTACGTGATAAACCATTTCGTTTCACATATGTCCAGTATATCACGATCGACCAGAACGACAGAATCGGTGACACGGCTGCAAAGCTTCTGAAAACAGTGAGAAAGGCAAGTGTAACTCTGTACTTAAGCTATCCTTAAGGAAAATCATCTGAAGATGTTTCACTTAGAATTACTTTCGACAGTTAGCGGATAATCGCACTGAGTGCAATAAATTTACACGCAAGCACAGGTTTAAAATCTTACAAACATTATTTTTCCATTCCTGGTGATTTGCAACTATAGTAAAATTTATAATCAAATCGTCGATTACTTCTTGACATCAACGTCAAGAAGATGTTACATAGGCTCTGATATTTCTGAAAGCGAATCTGCTCTGAAATATACAATTATCAAAATCAAATACGCTGAAAAATGGCACTTAATTTTTCCCCTCAACTGATCACTCTAAAAAGAAACACTTTTCAACTTAAAGTGGTGAGAGAAATGCATGCGGTCTCCGATAGATACTATTTACTGCCAGTATGGCAGAGTTGTATTCCACAAAGTGTGAACAGTTGTTAAACTTTTTCCTACCTTGCAAACTCTCTTGACTATGAGTTGATTTTCATAACCTTTTAATCTGAATGACTATATGTATTAATATATGAATTAATGAGCAAATAGGATAGTTTTTAAATTCAGCTGTACTCTTAGCACAACTTCAAATCAGTGACAAGGAGCCACAAATAAAATATCCTTGACAAACTTCTACAAGAAAATATCACAGAGGGTTAAATTGGAGGCTTAGGTGGCCACTGCATGAACTCGTCATCTGTTCGTCCCATAAATCGTATTCATTTTAATGGCAAATTTTAACTGAGATACTCTCCCAGACGATCTATGTCTTTGTGGTACATTTCGACCGAAATACTCTCCGAATTGGTATGGATTCTAGTCTCTGTGGTAATGAGCGATATAATTGCCTTATTAAAAGGAGTAATCATTACTTTATTCATTCAGTCGTGGCATCAAATAT